AAAAAAACCCTGTTATATAAAACAGAGCTGATCTGCCCAGTAGAGGATAGGGAGCTAGAAGCCCCAGCTGCTTACCTAATTACTTCCTTTTCGGTTCTCCCAGGGGCCTTAGGCTCAGGAGAACACAGCGGGGAAAAATCCCTGGACTAGATCCCTTAGGTCCTGTCTAGAATTTAACATTTTCTGAATCTTATATTGATAAGCGGAGTGTAATTTCTTAAAAACAATTTTGAGGAGGCAGTGCAGTTCTAAATCCATACATATGGATGCTACAGTGTAAGATCTGCTAGCTACAGTGAGAAACAGGAAAAGATAAACACAGCTCTTGCTTTAAGCAGCATTCTTGGAAGAAGAGTAAGAGGGAACAAAAGAGCTATAACTTTCGTAACACAACTCATAGTACACAGAGATTGAAGTCAACAAGAAATTTGCTTCCTAAAAATAATTACAGAGATTATGAAGAGAGAAAGGGAAACGAATATGTGTGTTTTAATTCTGCAAAATTAAAACGAATACGTGTGTTTTAATTCTGCACTGCCAGTGCGGTGGCTTATGCCTGTAATTCCAGCACTTTGGAAGGGCCAGACAGAAGGATAACTTGAGCTCAAGACCAGCCTGGGCAGCATAATGAGACCTTGTATCTACAAAAAAGACTTTTAAAGTTAGCCAGGCATGGTGGTGAGCGCATGTACTCCCAGGTACTCAGGAGGCTGAGGTCAGGGGATCACTTGATCCCTGGAGGTCAAGGCTGCAGTGAGCCACGATCACACCACTGTACCCTTAGCCCATGTAACAGAGAGTGACTGTCTCAAAAATAATAATATTTGTCAGAATAGCATGTCTTTGTATAACTGCCACATTGCTTGTATGAGGTGAAGCTAACTCACTTTATTATCAGAAGTGTGATCTCATCAAAGACCAAGCCGTCCAGCTGCCTTGGACTGTAGGTCCTGCGTTGCCAGTACCTTGGGGCTATGTACAAAAGCCAGGCTGAGGGGATCTTGTGGTTACCCCCATGGGACTAGTAACTTGTCAAGGGGGAAGGTGACCCCAAGTGGAAAAGGGTAGGGTCCTTGGTTTTGGCCTCGCCTGGTTCTCCCCAGAATGAATGGCGAAAAATAATAATTCTGGGAAAAACTTTAAATTCTTAATTTTGTTTACTTTTTGGATGGGAGATAGGTGTATACATGGTAAAATTCAAAAGGAACAAAAGGAGCCTGGGTGTGGTGGCTCACACCTGCAATCCCAGCACTTTAGGAGGCCAAGGTGGGCGGATCATTTGAGGTCAGGAGTTCGAGACCAGCCTGGCCAACATGGTGAAACCCTGTCTCTTCTAAAAA